TTAATACTGACCAAAGGGAGGATATTAAGCCAATGAAATTACCCAAACTAAAGAACTGATAGTATACAATTGAAATATAACTCATTTCTATAAAAAAAAAAACCCAACTTAATTTTACAAAAATCTGTTGAATTGTGTTGTTTTTCCTGTAGTTTCCATTATCCCATGCTTATTAAAGTCATTAAATTGATAAGCATCTTTTAGCAGAGTTTATAAAAAAACTGATGAACTGTCACAATACTTTAAGACTTACTTGACTTAAAGAAGGTTCACCAAGCAGATTGAATATGTCTAAATACAGTCAGACATTATTGTTGACGTCTAGTAATTCCAGTATGCGCAACCACTGCCGATCGTGGTGTACTTGTTTCATGGGACTACTCTATGTCTCTCCAAGGGGACATTTTAATTTGGCAAAATTTCAAGTAGCAAAACAACAAAAAGAAATTTTACTAATAAATTGCTAGAAAACGCAGATCAATCCCTGTTGTCTCTTCCAGAATATGGGTACACAATTGGTATATTTTTATTTTCTTTCATCAAATTAACTAGGTTTTTTTTTCATTTTTTTCTAAAGTTCCTGAAATTTTCAATAGGCAACAAGAGTTATAACTTAAGTGATTTCATTATTTCTTTTAGGAATTGCCTGAACTTGAGATACCAAAAGATAACTCAAGAATAATAGTGGAAAACAGCAATAATTTGGTTCCATCTTACAATACTCGAAAGAAAAATAAAATTCCAGGAAATATCAGTTGCAGTCTAAATGAACCACTGCCTTTATATAAACCTGCCTGATTGGCAGAGGCAGAGAGAGGGTAGGACAAAGGACGTGAGAAGAAGTCAGTAGTTATTCACAATAACAAACTCCTTTCCCCAGGGGTGAGTTATTCTGGAGCAGGAATGCACTGAAATCCTTTGCATAAGCAAGAAGCAAGTAAGATAAACATTTCAGACACTGCCATCGATCTGGAAGACTCTCTCAGCATTCCAGGCTCCCCTGTGTTGTATATTGTGGGAAAAGGGCCACCAGCCTCGAAACCAAAGTGGCCTGTTCTCAGGGTGACATCTGCACGCAGTGCAAGATAACCTTGGGCAAACCATTTAGTCCCCAAGTCTGTTTCTTTATCTGCAAAATAGGGATAATCACAATTATCCCTAAGGATGACTGTGCAGATAAAAAAAGACAGTGTCTGCAAAAGTCTGAGTGTCTCATAATTAGTAGAGGCTCAATAAATTATAATTTGTATTAAGTCTTAAGCAAAGATAATGGGGCTCAAATTCTCCACTCCCTGAGCTAAGAGGGAAATGCCTCTTTACCTTAGTGAATACAATCAAATCAACTCATTATTAATTCCAAACAGATAGTCCATTCTTCTGGAATATCTACATGGAAAGAACAAAGCGAGAGCCAATTCTCAATTATTCATTGCAGCAAAAGCAAGACACCCAGCAGTCTCTTTTTATCTGAGGTTTCATTTCCCATGGTTTCTGTTACCTGCTGTGATTGGAGAATGTTAAATGAAAAATTCCTGAAATAAACAATTCATAAGTTGTAAATCGTGCGCTGTTCTGAGTTGCATGATAAAATCTCACACCATCTTGCTGGGACATGAATCATCCCTTTGTCCAGCATATCCACAATCTGAGTGCCACCTGCCTGTTAGCCACTTAATAATCACCTCAATTATTAGAGCAGTTATCAGACAGAGAGACCACATTCATATAATCTAAATACGTTACATTGTTATAATTCTATTTTATTATTAGTTTTTTGTTTGTTTTATTAATCCTCACCTGAGGATATTTTTTCCATTGCTTTTCAGAGAGAGTAGAAGGAAGGGAGGAAGCGGGAGAGGGCGAAAGAGGAGGAGAGAGGGAGGGGAAGAGAGAGAGAGGGAGGGGAAGAGAGAGAGAGAGAGAAACATCAATGTGAGAGAGACAAATTGACTGGTTGCATCCCGCACTCACCCCGACCCAGGGGCAGGGAGTGAACATGCAACCCAGGTAAGTGCCCTTGACTGGAATCAAACTGTGACCACCAGTGCCTGGGCCGACACTCTAATCACTGAATAACACCAGCCAGGGCTTAATTAGTTATTGTTGTTCATCTCTTATTGTGCCTAATTTATAAATTAAACTCTATCATGAGTATATATGTCTAGGAAGTAACACACACAGTATAACAACATAATATAAATAGTATATATGCATTTGCGGTTTCAGGCATTTACTGGAGATCTTGGTATGCATCCCCTTAAGATGAGGGGAAACTACTGCACCTGGGAGGAGGGAGCACATGTGTTTCTCTTCTACTCCCGTCTTCCGTGTCAGCTCCTCCCCTCTCTGCTCCTCCCCTTTCTTCCCCTCCCCTCGAAACACCCCCAGTCTCCACTCTATTTCACCCACAATCTGTCAGTCCTTTTCTCACATCTACCGCCCAGCAGACTTATTCGGTAGCTTTTCTCAAATTTTAAGCAAGATTCCTACTGAAAAATTTAAGAATCAGGAAAAAATTAAAGTTAAAAAAAAAATCAATCTATGCAACTTAAAGGGCAAACCCCTTCTCCCTACACCGATGCACAGCACAGAAAACGGAATGTTCCACGCAAGGACCACTGCAGAGGGCCCAGTGCAGACGCCGCATTCCTGACCCTGACCTTTGCCCAGCACCTCTGAATCCTTTCAAATTGTAAAGTAACATCTAATAAAAGGTGGCTGGTAAAACAAAAACAAAAACAAAAAAACCCCAAACGATATTTCAATATAGTAGTTAAAATACAAAATATAGTTAAAACACAAAAACCAGTAGGGTCCTCGGCGCTCACCCCCCAGGAACTCCCCATCCGCCAGAGTGACACCCCCCCTCCCCTCCCCAAAAGGCCTCTGCCCGCACCCACCTCTCTGGGGCCTCCTCTCCTGAGGAGGAGGAGCAGGGGTGCGTGGATCCTCTGGAAGACGCGGCCCCAGCACGGTGTCCTCTCCCAGGACGGGCCAGGCCTCCCCAGGGGAGGGGCCCTCAGGCCATGGAGCCCCGGGCCTGGGGGAGCAGCCTGACCAGGCCTTGGGGAGCTGCAGGCCCTGGGTCTCCCCGCAGGCCCTCAGCTCCGGGACTTCCGGCAGAACCACTTCCGGGGCAGGAGGGCAGCTCATCAGAAAGAGGGGACACCTGGCTCCCTCCACAGGGCGGCCCCAGGCTGGGCTGGGCCAGTGTCTCTGGGAAAGGCTCAGCCTCCAGCCCCACCAGCGCCTGTGGAGCCCAGAGGCCTCTGAGGGCCCCTCTGCCTCACCTGGCCTGGCTTTTACCAGAGCCTCTGCTCCAAATTACCAACCATTCCTCTACCCGCCCTGGAGCCCGCTCCCATGCACTGGATCAAATGAAACAACAATGCTTTTTGCAGCAAACACACACACACACACACATACAAACACACACACACACACACACACACACACACACACACACAAACAAATCAAAACAAAAACCATACAAAAACCACTGGAGAGACTTTGGATATTAGAACAAAGGTTCTTCAACCTTTAACCTTTAATTGTGAAAGATTTTCATAAACCTTAAAAAATCTAAGATATGCTTTAAAAATCTACAATATGTCAATAATATATTTTTTAAATATTGCAAATCCATGCAGTATGCTCCTTCAACCTTTAATTGTGAAAGATTTTCATAAACCTTAAAAAAATCTAAGATATGCTTTAAAAATCTACAATATGTCAATAATATATTTTTTAAATATTGCAAATCCATGCAATATGCTGTTGGTGGAAGCTACTTTGCAGGCCGAAGGCAAAAAGCTGGAGTGGGTGGATACAGAGACACTTTTGTTTATTTTAACCTGTGAAATGTTTTGTAGCCACAGAAATGGTTCTGGAAGCCGTAATGTTAAAACTATTTAAAAAGCTGAACTTACAACTTGATAATACAAATGTAGAGTAATTTGCGATGTTTTTGGTTATATATAGAATGGTGTTAAGGAACAACCTCAGGTCAGAGATACTTAACATCATCAATAACCCTTTCCCATGGCCAGTGTAGGGCAAATTTGGGAAGTAGTATATATTTGTCTTTAAGATTGTTCCACTTTCTAATTCTATAACCTCCTCAGGCCTACTCCTGCTAATGATTTAATTCCTGCCCAGGACTTTTTTTTTAAACGATCAATCTGATAAATCATTGATTAGGGTAGTTTCTGTTCAGCCTCTTACATGAGTCTTTGCATTAGAACAACAATTTTCAACCTTTTTCATCTCATGGCACACATAAACTAATTAATAAAATTCTGCAGCATACCAAAAAATATATTTGTTGCCAATCTGACAAAAATAGGTATAATTTTGATTTATTCACATTAGATGGCTATTATTGTGTTGCCTGTTGTCATTTTTTATTTATTTGACATTCTAAGGGAAAAGAGGTCCTTGCCCCTGACTAAATAGTATATTTTAAAAATTATTGTGGCACACTGGTTGAAATACGTTACACTAGAAAAAAAAATGATTAGCGGAAAATATCCTACTCTCTAAGAAGAAATCTCTAATGGTAAAATTTCAGAAACCATTGTATTTGGGCAAAGAATTATTTGGGTCAGAGAAGATTTCCTAGCATAGGACTAGAGCTAGAAGTATAATAGTAATAATAATTGTTTTCTACCCCATTTCTCAAATTTGATTGTGAAATCACTTTTACTACAATCACAAAAGATACGTATTAATAAGAGCAAGAGAGAGATTTCTAGGCCCAATTCCAGAATCATTAAGTCATAATCTCTGGCAGTGAGAAACTTATAATTTAGAAAGAGAAGACATATGGGTAAACAATACAAATGAGTATTATTTTCTCAAGTTTGGAAATGATCAGATATACCTTATAGACCAAAAGCTTAGAGTGTCCATGCATTTAATGGCCTATCTGTATTCATTATGGTGTGTAAGAATAGATAGAGCAGTATCTAAGGAACCCCAACTTTATCACTTGGTCTTACCAGGCACTCCAGCTTGGATCCAGAAGTTAATGTCTGTCCCTTCGCCAGCACCGAAGACCTGTGTGACATTGATGGGCTGCAGCAGCCTCATGACCTCCTTCATGATGGCTCTGGCCTTGTCGCTGCCAGTGAATTGCAGCCCAGAGGGTAAGAAGGTTCCTGCATCAGACTCCATCACCAGGCTGTAGTTGGAAATATTTGCCTAAACAAAGACAAAGTGTTTGATTTATTTCTGCTGCTTGTTTACTTTCTCCTTGGGAACTATCAACAACAATAATCAAATAGTTTATCTCTTCGCCAGTTCTTGCCAAAACACATCTTCCTCTGCTTGACTGAGGGTCTCGTCTGTGTATTTCCTAACTATTCTGAGATGCACAATTACTCATCCTGGGATTTGCCAAACTTGAGTTGACATGGAAGGATTAAAACATATAATAAACAGGAATGTATAGCCCCGTACTAAAGTTATTCAATTATTTTTACTAGCATAATATTCTCTCAAATAATTTTCTTAAGTGCCTCCTGCATACCAGGATGCAATCTCTCCTATATGGTGAGAGATCTCCAGGTAGCAACTGTTATTGGAGAATTGCATGGACTTCCCTTCTCCATTGCCAGTGAGAGTCGGGTTCTTGGGGTGCCCCTGAAATAAGCATTTCCAGAGGTCCCCCTAAAGGAAATGAGATTTGGTAGAAAGCTTTATTTGCATGGAATTACATCACTTGGTTTCAAAAGTTCCATTTCTCTTAAACCTGTCCTGGGAAAGATGCAGCTGGGAATTCAGCAGAGCTAAAAGCAAAACCAATGTCCAGAGTTTCTTTTTATTTTATTTTATCATATTTTGTTGATTTTACAGAGAGGAAGGGAGAGGGATAGAGAGTTAGAAACTCGATGAAAGAGAAACATCGATCAGCTGCCTCCTGCACACCCCCTACTGGGGATATGCCGGCAACCAAGCAACATGCCCCTGACCAGAATTGAACCAGGGACCTTTCAGTCCGCAGGCTGATGCTCTATCCACTGAGCCAAACCGGTTTCAGCAAGTGTCCAGAGTTTCTGTTCCATGATGGAGCTGGGTCCAGCACAGCATCAGGGTAGTTGCAGTCCATGTTCAGGAGCTGATGTATCTCAGATTCTATGCCTTTGCAGTGGCCACGCCTATTTTGGCCAATGACCTGCTCCCAGGTGTGACAGACAGGTAATCATTGTCCCTTTGTCACCCTGACCTCTCTGGGCATGCCCATAATATTCAGCTCTTCATGTGTTTCTATCCAGTTCATTAGTAACTGGGTTAAATACAATGATATCAAAACAAAAGAAGGCCTACTCTATGGACTATTCCTCTTTCCTGTAAGTAGGTACTATATCTTCTTTTCATCGTGAGTTTTCTGAAGCTTACAGGCACCAAGCTGACAGGTTTGTCTTGGGTTCCTGATGTTTGTTGTCCTATCTGTTGCATCCCCAGGGAGAGGTCACAGAACAACACGTGACACGCTGCTCTCTCTGGTGGACAGCCATCGCTCTCTAAACCCTGGTGACTCTGCCAGGCCACTAGTTTGTTAACTCTTTCCAAATAAAGTCTGGGAAGTAAGCAAACGGTGATTTCGTGTAGTCGATATCGGCACTACAGGAGCTCAGAGTAGAAGAGGCTCTCGCCAGCTTGCACAGCTAAACGGTCACACTGGCCTAAGACTTGCAAGTTTAAAGTCCTTCTGTTTTCTCAGGAGCAGTCCACTTCTTGAAGACTGACTGACTACTACCAACAACTACTCGGCCGAGTTATTCCCAAGCCATTCTGGATGGCGCTGTATTTATTTTTCGCAGAGTAAAAATCAATAGTGACATTTGTACTGTGCTTCCAGAGAGCTTTACATTTGTAATCTCCTTTGATCTTCTTCAAAAACTGATAGACAAAGCGGCTTTATGGTTGATGCTGTTTTATAGAAAAGGAACTGAGGGTCAGAGAGGTCAAGTGATTTGCTCAAAGTCACTCAGTGAGCAAATGGTAGAGCTGGGTCTAAAATCGCATGCTTTCCAAAACTCCACACTACCCCGGCTAGCATTGGGTAGGGTGATAAGTAATGCTTGTTCTGAATTAGGATGTTTTTTCACTTACATAACCTACTAAGACTTGCATAAGTATTGCTTTTTTTTTTTTTTTTTTTTTTTTTTGTCTAAAACATTCTTTTTTTTTACAATGATGTCCTAACTATTACCATAGAAGTGTAAGTGTTGTGATAAAGAGACAAGGAGTGGTGAGTTCTAGAGGAGGATGTTGCCAGCATTTGTAAGGACTGAACGGGGTAGTCCTGGATACCAACGTTTTGTTATTGTTGCTGTTGTTAATGATGAGGAAGTTAACAAAGCACAAGTGTGCTCATATTTTTAGTCTCACTTCTAAGGAATTTCTTTCTTCGTGATGACTTTCAGAGAAAGACCCAAGGCATTTATCACGGAAGGTGCCATTTTGGTTGTCCACCGTGGCTACTCCACAATGGCAGCATTAGAGTTTTAATGTACAAAAATATTTGCATTAATGCCTTTCATTCAGGGCTCGTTGAACCAGCACACCGATGCCAGGTCAGCAAGTTGCCATGTCCTAACCCTTCCCCCTGGTTCGCCTGCTAACCCCAACCCAAACTCCCCCTACCCCTGGAAACAGGAGAATTAGAAACATCATGGCATATCTGCAAGTGAGAACAGAAGTGAGTAATCTTATGTGGGAGGGCTCCTCCAGGTGGGCACATCTCACCTTTCCCACAGGGAACTGAAGCAAAGTGCTCCTGATTATGTACAATTTAGGTTGAAAGCGGAGCTAGGTAGCAGTCTGGCTGTCAGACCAACACTAACAAGCAGCCTGGTGTGATGGACACAGCACTGGACGCACTCTGTTGTGTTCCTGACCGGCTTCCTCCCTCTGTCTCCACGATATCTCACCTTGGCTTTGGCTTTTCCATCTGTAGCCTTGGACAGATGCTCTATTCCAAAGCTGGAATAATGAGTCTGTGCATATGGGGCTTTGAGTGCCTTCAAATGAAAGACTTTTGTAGGTTGAAGTGAAAGCAGTTGCCTAACTGTGCCTGAAGGGCTTCTTGGCCATCTTCAACTGTGAATGAACAGACGTTCTAGGGCCAGGGGACTCCGGTTTGTAAATGCCACTGTGCAATGTTGATAGGGACATAGAGAATAACACATACTAGTGTGAGGATCTTTCAAAGATGCTCTATGCTATATTTGCAACAGCCAGTTTAGCAGAGTCGTAAGAGCTTTGGAATTATTCAGACTGGGTTTCATCCTCGGATTAACCAATCATTGGTTCTGTGACTTGGGCCAGTCTAGGTAACCTCCCCATTTCTTCTTCCAGAAATGGGCGTAATAATGGCAGCCAGTTCATGGAGTTATAGGAAAGAATGCATTGTAAAGTGCATAATCAGCACTTGATAAACAGTTGTTACAGGCCTTAGCACTAGGTATCATTACCTCTCAAATTTTCAAGAATTGGCAGGCTGCTTATAACGACAGTAGGTAGCATGTTACAGTGCTTCCTACACACCACACACTGGGAAATGCTTTATAGCTTATCACATGTAATGTTACATTCTGTGAGTGAAGAAACTGACCTTTAGTTGGGTTAGTTAACTTTCCCAGGGTTACCTAGTTAATAAGTGGGGCAGCCAGGATGCAAATGCAGAGTCTGCCCCAAGCTTGTGCTCTCAACTCCTGCACTGCCCCGTAGGCTGGCACTTGCCAAGTGTCAGGTTGAAATCCCTCACTTAAAAAAAACTATATATATATATATATGTTTTTATTGATTTTAGAGAAAGAGGAAGGGAGGAAGGGAGAGGTAGAGAGAGATAGAAACCTCCATGAGAGAGAAATATCAATCGGCTGCCTCCTACATGCTCTCTACTGAGGATTGAGCTTGCAACCCAGGCATGTGCCCTGACCAAGAATTGAAGCAGCGAACTCTTGGTGCATGGGATGACCCCAACCAACCAAGCCACAACAGCTGGGCATGCCCTCACTTTTAATGCAAAACACAGATACTGCCGTTACACAAATATATAGAGTTTAAAATATTTTTTTATGACCATAATACAATGTTTATGTGGACAGATTTAATCATCTTCACTAATAAAGTAATTTAACTAAGCAAAGGCAAGAATAAAAACAAACCAAAAACCACTATGGCTCTATGAGTTTCTTCCAACTAGAAAAAAAAAGCCTGACATAACATGTCTTTTCAAGCTGAATTCGACAGGATGCGCAGAAGTCAATAAACTGGAATTCAGGCGAGGGCAGAGAGACATGTTTGATTTCTGTTGCGTGTAGAATGGTATTAGCTGCTTCTAACATGATGGAAGTATTCCCAAGTATCCTATTTATATATAAGCATCTCCCTATGTTTTTGGTAGAGAACTAAGAAAACAAACCACCCACCGTCCATGACACGGCTTTTCCTCTGTATGTATGGAGTCGTCTAATGGTTAGCATCTGTGAAGGGGACGGCAACGAATGCCTCTGCACAGGGCACCCGGGCTGAGCAAGCAGGTCACTGGGCTGTTAGACCTGCTGCTTCTCGGGAACGCGTCGTCATACCTGTGTCCCTTACTGTGCCATAATCACGGGGGACACGCTCAGTGTAGTTTTGAAAAGTTGATTTTAGCTGGCGACAGTGGATCAGAACCAGGCTCGTGTCACTCGACCCACACAACAAAACTTCCTGTTCCTTCTAGAGACAAGGTTTTAGTACTGAGACAGCCAGCACCTAAGACAGGCTGAGGCAGATGGATGACGAGGCTGAACAGCCAGAGATAAGCTCAGCACTTATCTGCAAAAGCCCACTTTGCTCTCTTCAGAAGCAGCTCTTTATGAGGAGACATAGAAGCTGTCCTTTATTGCCACGCTAGGTACACAATGCAATGGCGAGAAATGCTCCCACGAGCCTCCTAGGTTCGGATCATTGGATTAGTGAATAGCTGCGCAGGGTTGAGGATTCATAACTTTGCCTGGTGCTAGAATCACATCCTATTACACTGTTCTTTCTTTCTCCAAGTGTCAGTATTACCAAAGAACAATTAGGTAACCATTAGCATTCTTGGGGTGCAAAGCAAGATAAAAACAAAGGAAAGTGTTTAAGATATATGTTGCGTGTTGTACCATGCTCACTCCCTAATAAAAACACAGAGATGATGTTTGTGT